AAAAAATTGGAAAATCCTCTGGAAAAGCTGAGAAAGGTGGAAAAGGTTCTGGAAAATGGAAAATGTGGGAAAAGGCTCTGGAAAAGATGGAAAAGCCTCTGGAAATCCTGGTAAAACCTCTGGAAAAGGTGGGAAAACCTCTGGAAAAACTGGGAAAAGCCTCCGGAAAAGGTGGGAAAAGCTCTGGAAAAGCTGGGAAAAGGCTCTGGAAAAGGTGGAAAAGGCTTTGGAAAAGGTGAGGAAACCACTGGAAAAGGTGGGAAAAGCTTTGGAAAAGCTGGGGAAATGTTCTGGAATAGGTGGGAAAATGCTCTGGGATCAGTGGAAAAGCCTCTGGAAAATGTGGGAAAACTTCTGAAAAAGGTGGGAAAATATCTGGAAAATCTGGGAAAAGGCCCTGGAAAAACTGGAAAAGGCCCTGGAAACAGTGGAAAAACCTTCCCAAAAAGTGGGAAAAGGCTCTGGGAAAGGTGGAAAGGCTCTGGAAAAACTGGAAAGGGCCCTGGAAACAGTGGAAAAACCTTTCCAAAAAGTGGGAAAAGGCTCTGGGAAAGGTGGAAAGGCTCTATAAAAGCTGGAAAAACCTTTCCAAAAAGTTGGAAAACACTCTGGAAAAGCTGGAAAGGCTGTGGAAAAGCTGGAAAAACCTTTCCAAAAAGTGGGAAAACACTCTGGGAAAGCTGGAAAAGGCTCTGGAAAAGGTAGAAAAGCCTTTCCAAACAGTCGGAAAAGGCTCTGGGAAAGGTGGAAAAGGCTCTGGAAGAACTGAAAAGGGCCCTGGAAACAGTGGAAAAACCTTTCCAAAAAATGGGAAAAGGCTCTGGAAGAACTGGAAAGGCTCTGGAAAAGCTGGAAAGGCTCTATAAAAGCTGGAAAAACCTTTCCAAAAAGTGGGAAAAGGCTCTGGAAAAGCTGGAAAGGCTCTATAAAAGCTGGAAAGGGCCCTGGAAAAGCACTGGGTTTCTCATGCTCACGTTTCTGGCAGGTTCGGGAGCGGCTCGGGGCTGGGAAAAGTGACGCTGCCGGGGCTGGGGCTGCGCTGGGGCCGCTGAGAGCGGCAGCCGAGCCGGTGGCCCCGAAACTTTAATTCCTTCCAGCTGCTGTCAGCCTGGCAGGTTCTCAAAGGAAGTTTAATAGACTGCAGTCGTCTCCCCTCGGCCCCCATCCCGCCAGAATCTGGGATTACATGAGCTGCTCTGCCTTCCAAAAACCCGGGTTTATTTTATTTTTTTTAATTTTATTTTATTTTTTATTTTATTTTGGCGCTGGGAGTGTTTTCTTTTCTGGTGTGTGTGCGCACGCACGTGTGCGAGGCCTCGCTGCAGCCTGCCAGCTGAACCTGCCCCTCGGATTGCAGGAATTGCCAGGGAATTTTGGGGTGGCACGGAGCAGGAGTGGGGGTTGCCTTGGAATGAGGAGGAGGAGGGTGAAGAGGAGGAGGAGGAGGATGAAGAGGAGGAGGAGGAGGAGAAGGCTCCCTGGGCCTCCTTGCTGGAGCGCTCCCCAGTGCGCCGTGTGAACGGGGAGGAAACAGGATGGAGAAAGAATTTGGAGTGGAAAATAAAAATCCTCTCCTGCTTTATTGATCGTGATTGAGGACAGAAATAGCCCAGGCTGCTGACAGCCCTCCCCGCCGAGGGAGCAGCCAAACGGGGGGCTCATCCGTGGAAAAACCAGGGGAGGTGTGGGGAGCTCAGGGCAGTGGGATGAGGCAGGTCTGCATCCCAGGGGTTCCTCACCTGCCTGAAGAATTTCCAGGCTTCTCCTTGTCCCTCTTGCTCTGCTCTGGCTGCACCCAGCACAGGCTGAGCAGCCCCTGGAATCCACCAGCAATTAAACAACGAGCTCCCATCGTTAGGACCTGCAATGTCCCAGGAATGATCAATCCCCAGCAGGGATTGTAGGAAAAGGAAATTCCCGTGGCACTGCCCACCCCAGGGATCACACCCTGCACCTAAACACCCAGCAATGCTGCTTTAGGTGACTGGAGTTTTCACGGATTTTAGCCAATTTCACTGAATTGTTTCACTTAAAACATCAAGCTCTGGGCCAGCCAGGCCGGGGAAGGCGGGCAGGGAAGCCCAGGGTGCCCAGGGAAGCCCAGCAGGATCAGCATCGGTGTGAGCACGGTGCTCCAACTCTGAGAAAACCATAAAAACCAAGTGCTGGCAGGAGAGTAATTAGTTAAAACCAAGCACATCTGTTGTTAATTAATTCCCAGGCAGGAGGGTTTAACTCTTGCCTTGCCCAGTGTTTTGCAACCTGCATGGCCAGTGCCAACTGGCATCCAGGGGAAGGCTTTAAATCGGCTTTTCAAGCCCTTTCAGGGACTTGAGTTTGCTCTGGTTCATCATTCCCTGCTCTGATCCATCATTCCCAAATCCCAGAACCACCCCTGGGATTTCCAGGAGCTCCAGGCGCCTGAGCAGAGCAGCCAGCACTGCTCAGGGCAGAGAACCCAGCTCAGGTTTGGGGTCGGGGCTGAAATAAATCTGTCTTTGCCCCTTCCAAAATCCAGCCCTGAGGAGCTGCTGAGGAAGGTGGGAACAACTCTCTGAAGGGGGGGTTTGCAGAGGGCAGAGATCTGGGCAGCCCTGTGCTGATTGTTGCTCTTTTATTTGCATTTTCTGGAAGGCAGCTCTCACTGGAGTCCGTTCACCGGCGTGAACATCACACCCGTGGAGGAAAACACTCCAGGATCCCATCCCTGCTCTGGATGAGGACCTGCTCCTCTGGGAGCAGCATTAAAAGGGCTGGAGGAGTGAGGAGGGGGGTTTGGGGTGTGTGTGACCCCCACCCCACCCTCGGGGCACTGCACTGGGGGAATCTGTTCCCCATTAAGCGGCCGTGCCTGCTGGAGCAGCCCTGCCAGCTCCAAGCTCCCTAATTAGCAGCAGAAGCGAGGCCAGGCTGGGGAAGGCCAGCGCCTCCGTGCCAAGGATGCAAAGGGTTTGGAGCAGAGCCTGTGGAAAAGCTCTGAGCCACCCTGCCAGTGCCACACGGTGCCCCGATTTTGTGCCAGGGTGGGCAGGGATGTGCATCCCACCCCCGGCCCTCACTGCTTCACCGAGGGGTCACCCCCAAACCCAGCGCCCCCAGCCCTCCCTGCGGGGTGCGGGGTGGAGGAAGGCTGCCCACAGCATCCTCTGCGTCTCCTCTGTGCACTTGCACCACGCTGGGCTCTTGCTCACCACTAAAAATAGGATTCCCGGCTGAGCGGCAGCGCCGGAGGGCAGCGAGCCCAGATCCCAAAGCCGCCCTTGTCGCCGTGACCAACTGACCCATTTGGCCTCGCTTTTTAAGTGCTTTTCCCTCCTCGTTCAGCTTCAGCCCAGGCAGCAGCTGAGCCGGGCCAGCTGAGCCTTTCCAAGGGCAGCGAGACCCCGGAATGGGGTCGGGGTCCCTGATCCTGGTGGCATGGCCTGGCACGGGTGGGGGTCCCACCAGGGCAGGAGGGGCCAAAGCCACCCAAATTCCAAGGGCAGCAACCTCACCAGCCCCAGCCCTTCCACAGGAATGTGCATAATTTATTTTCTCCTTTGGGGAATTTGTGCCCTGGGGCTGGTGAAGCAGCCTGGAGCAGGGGACATCCCAGGGATGGTGGGACAAGGAGCCAGGGTTTGTCCCAGGGGAGCCAAGGTTTGTCCCAGGGGATTCAGGGTTTGTCCCAGGGGATCCAGGGTTTGTCCCAGAGCAGCCCAGGGTTTGTCCCAGGTGATCCAGGGCACTCCAGGACCTCAACCTGTTCCCTGGAGCCAAGGACAGAGAGTCCTCTTGCATTTTCTTTCCCAGCACAAGGAGCAAACAGGAGCACCCTGGGGCTTTCGCTGACCTGTCCCATGTCCCCAAAGCCAGCTGGGAGCAGGATGGGCCACGGGGACAGGGGACACGGAGCCTCTGTCTCCAGGGAGAGCCTTGCAGAGCACGTGCTGGGCCAGCCGCCAGTCAGAAATGAAGAAAGACCTTTATTTACAGTAAAAAGGAACAAAAAAAAAAAAAAAATACCGTGACACTTCCCCTCCCGTCTCCCCAGCCCGTCAGAGGGGTGTCTGCCACTCCCACCTCTGTCCCCAGGATGGTGGCATGGGGCCAGCAACTGCTGGGGTCATTTGGCACTAACCAAGCCATGCCACCCTGCCCCACCACGCCTGGGACACACAGGGAACACACGGGGGACACACAGAGCTCGGTGACAGCTGCAGGAAAAGCTTCTTCCAGGAGGGCTCAGGCTGTGGGCATTGCACTTGGCAGCTGGGCTGGGCACCGGGGGCAGGGGGCCTGGCAGGACGTGTCCCCCAGCTCGGGACCCCGCAGAGGGCTGGAGGCTCCAGCGTGTCCCAGTGCCCACGGGTCACCCAGCCTGGGTGGTGTCCCTGCTCTGTGCCACCCCTGTAACCCCCCGGAGCTGTCCTGGGGTGGTGGCAGTGGGATGGGCTGTCCCCAACACCAGGAGCTGGGGTGGCTCTGTGGGACTGGGTGTCTTCAAGGCTGGGACCCGGGGTGACTCTGCAGGACATGTGTCCCCAAGGCTGGGGTGGCTCTATGTGACGGGCTGTCCCCCAGGCTGGGGTGGCTCTGTGTGACAAGCTGTCCCCAGTGCTGGGGTGGCTCTGTGTGATGGGCTGTCCCCCAGGCTGCGGTGGCTCTGCAGGACAGCTGTCCCCAAGGCTGGGTTGGCTCTGTGTGACAAGCTGTCCCCAGTGCTGGGATAGCTCTGCAGGATATGTGTCCCCAATGCCAGGGTGGCTCTGTGTGACGGGCTCTCCTGCTCTCGGCTCAGGTGGCAGGAGGCTCCCACAGTCCCCCCAGTGCTGGCAGAGGTAGAGCAGGCCAGGACACCTCCAGACCCCCTGCAGTCCTCTGGGGTCACCCTTCCCCGGGCAGGAACAGCTCCAAGGACGAGGATTCCAGCGGGGGATTCGCTCTCCTCCTCCTCCTCCTCCTCCTCCTCCCTTCCCCGGGCAGGAACGGCTCCAAGGACGAGGATTCCAGCAGGGGATTCTCTCTCCTCCTCCTCCTCCTCCTCCGGGACCGTCCGGAGCCTCACCCGCTGTGGGACAGCCCGGGGGGTCCCGTGCAGGTCCCCCCCCAGCAGGGCCCCTCAGGAGGAGAAGCAGAGCCCGCAGCACTCCATGCAGATCTCCAGGCAGTCGGCGGACTCGCAGCAGGCGTCGATGATGCCGCAGTCCATGTCGCAGGGCAGGTCGCAGTCCGCGCACTCGCCTGAGTTGCAGCAGCAGCAGCAGATGCAGGAGTCCTCGGAGGTGCAGGAGCCGCAGGTGGCACAGTCCAGCACGATGTTGCAGAGGGTCAGGAACTCGCAGAAGAGGCAGGAGAGGATGCAGTGGACGCAGCAGTCTGGGGAGGAACGCGCGGGTGAGACAGCGCCCGGCGTGGGGGGTGCTGGGGGGGCAGCACGAGGGTGGAAACCCTCCCTCAGGAACTCATGGAAGGGAGGGGAAAAGGGGTTGGGAGGCAGCCACTGCCCCAGGGGTCTCCCTCAACACCCAGCCCTCAAGAGAGACCAATTTTGGAGGACAGGAGATGGCCCCGCTCAGCACCCGCCCTGCAGAGGCTGCCAGGAGGGTCCAGGGGTCCGCTGGGCTTGGAGGGTGCCAGCAAGAGATCCCAAGGGATGAGGGGCTTGAGGACTTGGAGGGTGTTACCAAGAGATCCCAAGGGATGAGGGGCTCGAGGACTTGGAGAATGCCACCAAAAGATCCCAAGGGATGAGGGCCTTGAGGGTTCACAGGGTTCCACACAAGAGATCCCAAGGGATGAGGGGCCTGAGGGTTCCACCCAAGAGATCCCAAGGGATGAGGCGCTCAAGGACTTGGAGAATGCCACCAAAAGATCCCAAGGCGTGAGGGGCTCGAGGACTTGGAGAATGCCACCAAAAGATCCCAAGGGGTGAGGGGCTCAAGGGTTCACAGGGTGCCACCAAGAGATCCCACGGGATGAGGGGTTCAAGAGTTTCACCCAAGAGATCCCAATGGATGAGGGGCCTGAGGGTTCCACCCAAGAGATCCCACGGGATGAGGGGCCCGAGGAGAACAGCTGGAAAGAGACCCCCAGGTTCGAGCCAGTACCTTCCTGCGCCTCAATGGGGATGTGCGAAGAGGGCGACTTGGAGCTGCCCTTGCTCTTCTTGCTGCTCTGGCTGTTGATGGAGTGGTGCGGCTGCAGCTTTCGCTGCGGTTTCTGCGCGCTGGGCACGGCCCGGCACATCCCGTTGCCCGCCTCCCCGTTGGGCAGCAGCTGCGTGCAGGGCCCGGGGGGCTGCGGGGGTGGTCGCACCTGGGGCTGGCCTGGAGGGGAGAGCAGCACGTTACCCACCCTGCCTTCTCCACGGGGAGAAATTGTCACAAATTGGCACGAAACAACACGATGCGGGCTCGCTGCTCTTTCCAAGGTAAAAAGGGATTTTTATTTCTGGCTCTAGCATTTATAGATTTCCAAAAGTGGCAGTGGATTGGAGGGCGAAAGTGCCACCTTTCTCCAATGACACTGGACAAAGTAACAGTCTGCCAAATTTCTTCTCCTCCATAAAAGAATGCAAATCAATAAGTTATTTACATAAAGTGAGAAAGTTCGTTATGAGAATGTAAACATCAGAAGGCTTAGAAAATCTTTAAAAATCAGGGTGACAAGAAACACGTGCCCAGACCCTGGAGGAAAACGGGAATCTGGTCCCCAGGTGGACACGGGGTGAGCTGATGGATGGATGGTCCAAGAGGAGGGAGATGGAACAGGAGATGTGGAAAAGGTGGTGGAGGGGAGGAGGCAAAGGCTCCAGAGAGAGGAAGGGATGGAAAAACCCGAAGAAATGAAGATTTGTCGTGAAGGATGGCCTGAAACTCAGAGGACCTGAAGGAGGAGACGTCCCTGCACGGCCAGCAGGGATGGAGGCACCGAGGCTGCCCCACGAGAGGCACCAGCGCAGAGCCAGCCTGCTCCTGCAGGGACCGGCCACTCCCTTGAGGTCTCTGCAGCCTCTGGCTGAACTTCTCTGCAGGAGGAGGAAAATAACGCAGAGCTGCGGCTGTGCCTCCCTCCAGCCCCTCCTGCTGCAGCTCTGTGTCCTGCCAGCCTGCTGCCACAGCCACAGGGGGGGCTCAGCCCCCTGCTCCTGCCCGCCGTGCCCACGCTGCCTCCTCATCCTCATCCGGGAGAGGACTGGGAACCAGAACAAGGTTCCAGCAGCCGTCATCCTCCTCAGTAAGGCCACAAATAAAATAAAATAAAATAAAGTAAAATAAAATAAAATAAAGTCAAATAAAATAAAATAAAATAAAATAAAATAAAATAAAATAAATAAAATCCTGTCTGGTGGTGCTTCAGCCAAACTTTGCTTTTCCTCTGCCACGGCAGTAAACAAGGGATGATTCAGGGGAGAGGCTCGAGGGCAAAGGCACCTCTTGGCACCAGGGAACAGGAGCTGCTTTCTGTGCAGGGCACTGGGGGACACAGGGGTGGAGCGGGCACAGGCGGTCCCTGTCCTGCATCCACGAAAATAAAACAGATGGAAGGTGAAAATAAAGTGGGTGGAAGGTGAAAATAAAATAGATGGAAGGTGAAAGACACAAGTGGATGGTCCCAGCACTTGGTTTGACCAGGCTGAGCTGGGCTTGGGCCGCACAGGGAGGTTAAAGTGGGAGCTTGGTCTTTGACACCCGCTGGGAAGGGAACTTAAAATAAATAGAGCTGAGCGGGAAGAGTGGGCTGAGAGCAGGAGAGGTGGGAGACAGAAAACAGGTCTTGCATAAAACAGGGAATGTCTCCCCTTCCTAAAATCCTCACGGAGTGTTCACCTCCTGCGTGCCCTCTCCCGCCTCGTGTGTGCACCGAGATGGCACCGAGGTGACATCCGAGGTGACCACGGTGCCCAGGGCTGTGACAGGAAGGGCTGAGCCTGCAGGGAGCTGGGCAGGGCTGAGTCAGGAGGGAGGCAGCAGCAGCAGCTCGGCAGCCTGGGACGGCAGCTGGATTCTCCGGGACTGCAGCAGGATGCACTTGGCGCTCCCCATCTCGCTGCATTCCTCAGATTAAACTGTTTGTAAATCAGAATCACGCTCTGGCTCCGGCGAGGGGCAGCCAAAGGCAGCCAGGAATCCCCCCCTCAAAGTGAGGGAAAATAGCTTCCATTTTTGTAGGACAGCCTTTAAGACACGAGGCCAAAGCTCTGCTGAAAAAGGCACCTTCAGCTCCCCCAGTAATGCAGGAGTGGGGGGACCAGCCCTGAAAAACAGGATTGTGCCTGTCTACAGCTCTTCAATAACCAAAATCCTCCTGGATGTTCACTCTGGGTTTCCCACTGAGGTGATGCTCCTCGATCCCCTCGGGTGTCCCAGGGCAGCATCACCGGGGTCCCCCTGCTGGGACCCTCCCCCAGCCACTGCCAGGCCTTGGAATGTTGTGCCCACCTGGGTCTGCTGCTCCTGCCTTAACACACAGAATCCCAATGTTCCAAAAAGCTGCAAAACTGGATTTGAGCACAGAGCTGAGCCTCGGAGGGGCCAGTCCTGGCGCTGGTGGGCAAGGACGTGACCCTGCACCCTCCAGCCCCTTCTGCCCGGCCCCTCCTGAGGCTGGCACGGGAATGCCACCATCCCATGGGAGAGCCTAAATGTGTTCCCCAGAGCCCGCCAAAATAGGAATAACCCCCAAAAACCAATGGTGACCCCCGCCCAGGAGCAGCGCAGTGAGGAGTGGGGACACCAGCGGTGACGCTGCTCATTTCCCAGCGAGGAGAGGCAAAGGTCCCTCCACCAGAACCAGGAGGAGGGTGCCCAAATCCCTCGCAGCGCCGGGGCCCGTGGGGGGCTGGGCTGGGCTGGGGAGGGGGCTGTGCAGCGGCTGCGGTGTGACTCAGGCGTGCAGAATGTCTGCGGGCAGCCGGCCCAGCCCGCGGACGCCGCGCCAGGGCTCAGCCGCAGCAAACGTGCGCTCTCCCCGCCGCAGCGCCCGCGCCTCGCCGCCCTCTGCCCTGCCCTGCCCTGCCCTGCCCTGCCCTGCCTCCCTCCGCAGGGGCAGCCCCGTTCCCAGCCGCCCTCATCCCGCTGGGAAGCTTCCATCCACTTTACACCCCTTGGAAGGGGAAGCTGGCAGCCAGCAGAAAGGGAATGGGAGGGAGAGGCTGGGATGCGGGCTGGCGGCCAGGGAGGGACGGACGGCTCCAGGAGAGGCTCCAGGAGAGGCTCCAGGAGAGGCTCCCACATCTGCCCGCGCCGCTCCCCCAGCCCTGCCCCGCCAGCGGAGCGAGGGCAGCCCGGCCCTGCCCCACCCCACACGGCCGGGGCAGAGTTTGGGAGGCGCTGCCAGCCCCTGCCACCCCCTGAAGCAAAACCAGCCCGGCTCAGCCAGGCCCGGCTCAGCCAGGTTCAGCTCAGCCAGGCTCAGATCAGCCAGCCCGGCTCAGCCAGGCTTGGCTCAGCCAGGCCTGGCTCAGCCAGGCTCAGCACCAGCCTCACCCTTGCCCTGGAGTGGTCAAGACAAGAGCTGGCCCAGTGGGACACGGCTGCTTCTGCCCCTGAGAGCGGCTGTGGCACCGGGACATGGCGGGGTGTGCCACGGGGACATCCTGGGGATGTGGCACAGGGACATTGTGAGGCTGTGGCCATGGAAATATCCCATGGCTGCGGCATGGGGACATCCTGGGGATGTGGCAGGGGGACATCCAGGGGATGTGGCAGAGGGACATCCTGGGGATGTGGCCATGGAAATATCCCATGGCTGTGACATGGGGCATTCCGGGTCTGTGCCCATGGAAATAACCCAGGGCTGTGACATGGGAATATCCTGGGGCTATGCCACGGGGAGATTGTGGGCCTGTGCCATGGGGACATCAGAGGGCTATGGCACAGAGACATCCCGGGGCTATGGCACAGGGACATCCCAGGGCTATGGCACAGGGACATCCCAGGGCTATGGCACAGGGACATCCTGGGGATGTGCCACGGGAACATACTGGGGCTATGACACAGGGACATCCCGGGGCTGTGCCCCATGGAAATTCTGTGCCATTGAGACATCCCAGGGCTGTGCCCATGGAAATACCCCACAGCTGTGCCATGGAGACATCCTGGGGCCATGCCCATGAGAACGTTCTTTGTGGGTCTCCTCTCTCCCCCTGGGGTTTTGGGGGATGTTCTTTTCCCAGGCAGGCTCATCCCTCTTCCCACCACGGCACTCCAGAGAACCCCAACCCTTCCCAAAGCAGCTCCAGTTGCTCCGAGGGCACCGGGAGCCACCCCTGGGTGCCACCCTTCACTTTCACCTCTCCAGGTGACTCAGGCTCGCTTCGAGCTTTGATGTGGCGAGGAACAAAGCCAGGAGGAGCCGGGTTCCCACCTCTGCCCTGCTTTTTGATGGAAAACACTCACATGTCACAGCTTCGGGAGCGCCGCCGAGCTCGGCCCGGGGGCCTTTGGTCAGCACTGTCACCGGGGATTTGTCGCCTTCCAGGGCTTTGTCCTTCCTCGGCACCGCGGGGATCTGCCTCGGGACAGGGAGCGAGGGCTCGGGCACCTCTGCAAGAGAAACGGGATCAGGGCTGAGCCCCCGGGGCAGCCAAATTTTGGGATGGGGCTCTGAGTCCCGAGCCACATCCCTGTGGCACACAGCCCGCGGGTTTGGGCAGCCCGCTGCTGCTCGCCCCGCTGCAGCGCCATCCCAAAAAGCCTCCCCAAGCTCTCACATTCCTTCTCCAAAAAGCCAAGGGATCTGGTTACACTCAGCGGCTCAAGCTGGATTTTTCATCCCCCTTCCCATGAAAAGGGCCACTGTGTTCCCTGCGGGAGCTGGCTGCCACCTTCCCTCGTCCTCCTGCACTCTGCAGCAGCCCCCGCAGGACCCCTCGATGGGGCAGGAAAAACCTGCAAGGAGCCGAGTTATTCCCCACGGGAGAAATCCCGGTGCAGAAAGGCAGGAGGAGGCAGGATCACCTCCAGCGCTGCTGGCAGCGGGCTGCTCCATCCCCTGGGAATGTGGGGTGCCCAGAGGGGGGCTCGGTGCCGTGCCACACCACCCCAGCCCCCTCCCCACTGCCCCAGCCCTCTGCCCATCCCCCGGAATAGCAACGTCTTGCACAACAGGAGCTGGAACGCACTTTATATAAAACTAAATTATAGGCTGGGCAGAGGGAGGGAGGGCAGAGAGCCATAATTGCCCTGGCTGGAACAGGAGCCCTGCAAGCAGCCAGGGAGGGCAGGGGAGGGGGGAAGGAGGCCTGAGATGCTTCGTTATCCTCCATAAAACCAGGGTCCCACACACCAGAGCCGAGGAAGAAAGGAGGGCAGTTACAGATAATTAAAAATCAATATTATTTTAAGGAGCACAACGAGGGAAGTTGGGGGGTTCCAGCTGCACCCCGGGATCAGCAGGAGCTGGAAATGCTGCAGCCGCTCTGGAGTGATGCTGCTCAGCTCCACAACACCCTCCAAAGTCATCCACGTGCCTCAGTTTCCCCTCTCTGCCCTCCCCAGGGTGCAGATCCAGCCTGGGGTGCTGGAGCTCCTGAGACAGGGGGGGGATTTTTTGGGAAAGAAAACTCATCCCAGCACAGAGCCCTACTCACAGCTCTCACAGCTGAGGCGATTTTGGGGCTCAACCAAGGGAAACCCAGCAGCTCCAGCTGAATTTTGCACGACAGCATCGGTTCCAAATCCCGACAGAGCAGGAGCACGTGAGCCCCAGATGGGAGAAAAGCCATTCCCATGCCTCTGGAAAGCCCGGAGCAAAATGGAGAGGTGAGGAGAGCAGGCTGTCATCTCCCATGGGCGTAGAGGTGTGGGGTGAATCACATCCACAGCCTCTGTCATGTCCCAGCCTGGACTGGCCCCAGCCAGTCCTGATCCAAAGGCAGATGTGAAATCCTGATGGGTGAGCGTGGGAAATGGATGATGAGGATGATTGCCCTGGTCAGGAAGGGGCTGGAGGTGCAGGAATTTTGGGGAAAAGTGAGAGATGTCCCATGCCAAGGATGACAGAGATGAGGAGCTCTGAGTGGAGCCAGAGGTGAAGCTCCCACAGAGTCCCCGAGCTCTGGTTTCTGCTGTGAGATGTCCTGAGTGTGTTCAGGGCTTCAAAACCCTCAGGGCTGCCCAAAACAGCCCCAGACCCTCGTCCCTGCGGGTCAGTGATTGGGAAAAAGGGCTGGAAAATCAGGTGCAGCACAGGAGAAGGGCTGAGCTCAGCAGATCCCTGTCCCTGCCCCTCTGCGCTGCCTCCAGAGCACCCCTTGTCCCCTCTGTGCCCGTTCCTGGGGACAAGGACAGTCTGGAGCCCTGGCTGGGTGGATCCACAGGGACATCCAGGCTGCTGCTCCCACCGGGATGGAGCCCAGGCTCGTCCCTGCCGTGTCCACTTCACACTTGTAATTACCCTGCACAAGGGCTCGCACACAACCGCAGCCACGCAGGGAGGAAGGTGGCAATTAAATTAACTCCCCCGGGAACAAGCTGGCCAGGAGAGGGACAGAAATAGACAGGAATGAAGCTTGGGTGAGCTGATCCTTCCCTGTCTCGCGTCCCACAGGCTGCTGCAGGGAATGTGGGGATGGGGCTGATCCCCAGCTCCCCCTGGAATGGGGGGGAAAGGAGCCAGGGAGGGGCTGGGAGAAGATGGACAGGTCAGCACAGACCCCACAACTCCTGCCCCTTGGGATCCACAGGGAAATGCAGAGGGAATGCTCAGGAGAATGAAGAGGGAATGCTCAGGGAAGGGCACAAGGAATGCAAAGGGAAATGCAGAGGGAATGCAAAGGGAAATGCAGAAGGAATGCAAAGGGAAATGCAGAGGGAATGCTCAGGAAAATGAAGAGGGAATGCCCTGGGAAGGGCACAGGGAATGCACAGGGAAATGCAGAGGGAATGCCCTGGGAAGTGCAGAGAGAATGCAAAGGGAAATGCAGAGGGAATGGCCTGGGAAGTGCAGAGGGAATGCGCTGGAAGTGCAGGGGGAATGCCCTGGGAAGTGCAGAGGGAATGCGCTGGAAATGCAGAGGGAATGCCCTGGGAAGTGCTTGAGCAGCAGCTCCCAAAACGCCCCCAAGAAGAGGCAGCAGCTCTGCTGGCACAGGGGGAGGTGAACAGACCCTTCCACCACTGGCACAGGCTCATCCCACAGCTCCCAGCTCTCTCTTCTCCTTTAAATTCCCCAATCCCTGCCCTGCCCAGCTGAGCCCCCCCTGGATCCCTTCTCCCTGCTGCTCCCAGAACAGGACCAGGCTTGACCTGGATTTGTCAGGTTTAAAACCAATGACGAGCCTGGGCCAAACCCTAAGGGGAGCAGCCCTTGGGACAGAAAGGGAAGGAAAACTCCAGCAAGGAGCTAAAGAGAGGCTGGATTGGGGAATGTGGAAACAAATCCCATCCCTTCAGCAGGCAGATGTTTGGTGTCTGGGGAAAGGGCTCTCAGCACATCTGGAACCACATCTGAGCTCTTGGGGAGCATCCAAAGCCAAGGGGTGCAACTCCTGCCAGCATGGGGACACTCAGGAGACAGAAGGGGACACTCTTCTCCCTGTCTTTAATCCCTTGGGAATGGTTGGGCAGGGAGAAGGAAACATCTCTCACTTTTCCCCAAACCTCCTGCAGCCCCAGCCCCTTCCTGGCCAGGGCAAAGCCCAGAGCCTGGGATGAGTCCAAGTCTCTGCTCTGGGGAGCAGCACAAGGGAGATGTGGGAGAGCAGCTCAGATCTCTGGTTTTTGGGAACAGAGGAACCGAGGCATTCCAAAACAATAACTTCAGTAAATCACAGCACTGCCCCAAGGTACCAGAGATCAGCAAAGTGATAGAGGTGGAGCTGCCTTCTCTTGCCAAGCCCAGGACATGCACATGGAGCCAGTTTTCTGATTATTCTCCCCGATCCCAAAGTCCAAATCCATCCGTCACGGAAGTCCTGAGACATCAAAGAGCTCCAAAATCCATCAGGGGGGTGGGAAAACAGGACAGGAGAGAGGAGAGATGCAAAGAAGCTGGAAGTTCGTGGCTGTAACTGCAAAATTCCTGCAAATTCCAAAGTCCCAACATCCCTCTGGGCATGCAGGGAGGCCTTGGGGGATGCAGGAGCTTCTGGGGCCACCCCAGAGGAAAAGAACTTTGTGCTCCCAGTGGGAAGCATGCAGAATTCCTGATGAGCTGAGCTCAGCATTCCCAAAGAGCTGGGCAAACAAAAGGCAGGAGCAGCATCCTGGAGGGAGCTGGGATGAGGGCAGAGCTCCTCCAGCAGCACCAACAGGAGCCACAGCACAGCCACAGCTCCCAAAAACCTGTGCATTCCCTTCTCCCAGCTGGCTGTGCTGCCCAGAGCCCCAGAGGATGTGGGAAGAGGCAAAGCTGGAGCTGTGGTTTGGGGTCGAACCCTGCCAGGGTGTCCCGTGGTTCTGCTCAGCATTCCTGGGGTCTCATCTCTCTGCTCCTCTTCCTCCCGAGTGCCTTTGGCTCCCAGGGAAGGAATCTGGGATGGGCACATCCCCGGGGTGGCACGTCCCAGATTCCAGCCCCAGGGAGGGACAGAAAGGGAAGGAAAACTCCAGCAAGGAGCTAAAGAGAGGCTGGGCTGGGGAGTGTGGAAACAAACCCCATCCCTTCAGCAGGCAGATGTTTGGTGTCTGGGAAAGGGCTCTCAGCACATCTGGAACCACATTCAAGGGGTGCAACTCCTGCCAGCGTGGGGACACTCAGGAGACAGCAGGGGACACCCTTCTCCCTGCCTTTAATCCCTTGGGAATGGCTGGGCAGGGAGAAGGAGATGCTGGATGGAGGCCTGGCCTCGAGCAGCAGCCCAGCAGCTCGGCTCTGTGCGGGCTGGCAGCTCTCTGCTCTCCTCTTCTTGCACACAAAACCAGCCTGAGAGCTCTCCTGGCCCAGCCAGGTGCCTGCCTGACCTGTTCCAGGGATATTCCAGGGGTATTTTAGATGTATTTCAGGTTTCCAGTGCAGAAGAAGACACCAGAACAAATCTTCCCTCCTCTTCATGCGCACAAAACCAGCCGTAGAGCTCTCCTGGCTTTCCTGGCCTCCCCCAGGTGCCTGCCTGACCTGTTCCAGGGATATTCCAGGGGTATTTTAGATGTATTTCAGGTTTCCAGTGCAGAAGAAGACACCAAAGCAAATCCTTCCCATCCCCTGAGGCAGGTGGGAGCAGAGGGAAGCAAAATCCTGGTTTGAAAGTTTGCTTGGCTGGGAGAAATCCCGAAGCCTTATTTACATTCAGTCTGAAATTAATGCACCAAGGCTGCCTCAGGCTCTGGGATAGGCAGGGAAAGGAAAAGAAGGGTGGGAAGGGAAGGAGAGATGCCCAAAGCATGGCCTGGACACATCCAGCACAGCTTTGCTTCCCACCTGGAAAACCTTTGGCCTCACCTGGGCAGAGCTTTGGGTAAACAGGAACAATGAGGAAAGCAGTCAAAAAACAAAAGTGGTTTCTGTGAGAAGTGACTTCCTAAACGCACAAAAAAGCAAAACAAAGCACAAAAAAAAAAACCCCACAAAAACCCCAAATAGCTCAGCAGGCTGGGAGTTGTTGTTATTTGTTATTTATAGAATTTGGGTGGGAAGGGAGGGAGGAATTTTGGGGCCAGACAGGCCAGGAGCAGCGTCCGTCCAGTCCATCCCTGCTGGGAGTTTGACCTCGGTGACAAAACCCCAATTTCAGGTCGGTGTCCCCACAAACCCCATCCCTCCAAGGGCCTCGTGGCTCCAACCAGCTCCTGCCAAACCAAATTCATGCCAGAATTCCTCCTACAAGGGGTTTCAGGACAGACAAAACATAAATTTTTTTTGTCTATCAGGAAAAGCAAAACATAAGTTCCCTGCAATAAGCACCTCTACCATTGGGAATTATTCCTTATGCAGCAAAAATCGATTTAATGTAAATATATTTATATTTTATAGGTATTAAGGCACCATTCCAGTGTGGAGCTGCAAGGGAAGGAGGAATCTTTAAGCCTGGACTGGAAAAAAGAGACAAC